AAGATCCTGTCTACTGTGAGGATATGCACAGTATTACGTACTCTCAGGGATTTTAGGATCAAGAAGATTTGCTTTGTTTTTAATGCATAGTGAAAATGTTGGCACTTCATCCGATACTATTGTCTGCATTGCCTATACTCTACAGATACTGCCAGTGCTTGAAAATAATGACAGGGAATCGCAGGATTGTGCTGTTTAATTTGAAGTCAGCAGGTTTTTAAGGCTTTCTGCTGACAATAATTGCTTTCATACATTTCTGTCTATCAGCAGTATTTGTAAATGAAGTGAAATTGCAATGATCAGGTCAGCTCTTTAGTCACATGGGTAAACTTTCACTCTCCAAAGTCAAAATGCAATTTAGAAATAAAGAAATAAGATATCAATATCCTAGATGGTCTAAACGTAACTCTCAGCTAATTAGGAACTTTTTCTAGATTCAGGTCGAATTAGGTAGGGGAAAATACTATTGACGATAACAATAAATTCTTACTGCATCTGTACAAAAGACGACAGAGAAAATGACAAATACAGTGTGCCATAGCATATTCAACCTTCCCCCAAAACTTTTGGAGACGATACCTTTCTGAAAACGTGCAAAAAGGAGAGCCCTTGAAGACAGCGCCAAGAACTAGCAATGAGTTCTCCTTCCTTAAGCTGACAGAGCATGGTATAGCATGGTATAGCATTCAGGCAAATCCAGATCCGTTGTGTACTTTACACTGCAACTCAGGTTTTGGTGAAGACGAGCTCCAGCCTCAGAAGACAAGCGCAGCGCATTGCTCAAATAGGTTGTTTTAAAAAGCTGCACTTAGAGTAATTTAAAAATCCAATTTGGCTATCTGTACCCTGCATAGCCAGGAGGACACTGCAATTTTTGTATATACTTGATTAGATTTTTATGAAAATGTAATTTTTATACTTCCGATTAGGAAAAGACTAATTATATTTTACAGCTACAAACAACTACTCTTTTTTTTTTTCCTTTGCCCCAGCACTGTGAGGCTAAAATGCCTTCTTCCACTATAAATAAGATCATTCAAAAAGTGCTTCTCAGGACAAATGTTGAATACAGACAGACAACTTCATGTGATGGAAAGGGGATTTGGGGGAGTAAAACGGACTGAGCAAAGAATAAATTTAGGGCCCAATGCCATTAAAGTAAGACCAAGACATGGCAATTTAGTATGCTGAAGGTTTCATTTTTACTCTATGGAGAGTGAAATGCTTCCATTTTAACAAGCTGACCATATTATAAAATTAGTGTGGTTGTTCCAATATTGTGCATGATTTACTGGCCTTACCCTGCAAGAATAGTAGTGGATTTGTACAAACTTGCCTTGCTGCAATTTAGAAAAACAGCAACCTGRCATGTTGATTACTGGTGCAGGGTATTCACTGTTCCCGTATGGAAAGCATGAAGAACAAGCTTTGCTTTTTTGGGTATCACTTCTTGGAGTGAGTACCTAAAATAGATGTTGTTGTTGTAGTTTTTTTGGTTTTTTTTTTTTTTTTTTGGAAGTATGAAACAAAATCTATTTATTGGTTAAAAAGTATATAAAATAAAAAAGCTCCAAGCTTATGAAGTGACTCCACAGAGTTCAGACCTTTAGCAGTATAAACAATATAAACTTCATTGTCTGTAGTATTGTGCCATGACATTAGTCTCACTAAGACAAAATGCCACTTTGCAGCAAGCAATAAATCTGACAAAGCATTTTAAAACATAATGCCCTAACTTGCTAAGACAGGCTTTTACACGCTTCCAAATTCTTCTCCCTGAAAATTAACCCATTTATTCTCCAAATGTTAAGGGTCTTGGGCAAAAGTAAACCAAAGGCTGAAGTAAAACAACTATCCCCTTGGAACCGAACAAAAACTTAAAGATAAACCCGGCAGGGATCACAGTCTAATTTCATATACATATATATGTATGTGATACACATATATATGAAATTAAAATAGAGACACACATGACTTGGGCATCAGAAGGGGACTGCTACTTTCATACATTCATAAATAGCTGCTGAACTCTCTACTCATGAAGAAGCTCTTGTAGGCAGTTGGGGGATTTGAAAATCTCGGGGACCTCACTGTCCAGCTTACAGATGACCTTGTATATGGCCTTCTTCCAGGAAGGATCAACATCTTTGCCTGCGATAATGGCATTGAAAAACTCCCGTAACGTGATCTGAGCCACTTCCAGGAATCTCTCTGGAACCTGCTGATACAAGGAGACAATGGCATTAATACAGTTTTCAATTTCAAGTCTCTGGTTCTTCAAAGGAAACTGAGCTAAGTTCTTTCTTTCAGAAAGGGGCTTACATAGCACCTGCATTTTCTAAATGCGGCAGCCTTCTATTCTCTTATGCAAAGCTGTTATATATAGTACTATAGCAATAACTTTTATAACATGTGTTAGAGATCTTTGCAAAGTCTACTGACAGAAGGTAGGTAACAAAATGTTACTGTCTGAGTTCGGAGAGAGGGGATTTATAGGATATAATTAGCAGGAGGGGAAAGAAACACAATTGTCTTTAAGGAGAGAAATCTCTGTGTGATACTTTACCCRTGCAGTTACGTCTATGTTCTCCTTTCTGTACAGGAACTAATACAAAAGTTATGCACCCATAGCAAGCTCTCAGCACCTCTCTGCTTAACTTTGGTCAGAATCAGGGCTGAACGCTATCAAAGAAATAGGATATCTGTGAATGGTTGTTCATAGCTTAAAAACAAGCTAGCAATCAAGCCTTCAGCTAATAGCTTTGTTCTGTGACTGTTCTGTGCATGAGACTCCCTGAAGATGTCTTTCTTGGGAGATATTAAGGTCTTCCCTATTTTTCAGAAACCAGCAGATAAAAACCCAACCTCTTCAATGGGTGCCTTGTGCTTAGAATGCCTAYGGTGCTGGGATGCGTCAAACTCATATGGGTTTTCTAAAGTCACTGTCATTGCACGGGTAAATCAAATGGCCAACTAGCAGGGGTACATCCTCAGAAGTCCCAGGACCACGGCTGCACATTAAAAAGCACATTTATCTCTGCATTTAGGTAATTCGTCCTAAATAGCTGTCTCAGACATCAGCAGGAGCTTCTTACCCTCTTCTCTAAAAGACTTAAAAGCAATTCCTACAATGAACCGCAGGTCAGTTGTGAGGTTGATGTCATCTCCATAAAGGTATTATTTTCCATTTTTATTATGGAGATGTGGCTTCATAGCTCAAGAACTGCTAATACATGGCCGGCCACTGGCCAACAGGCTTATAATAGCAAGTACTCCCTCACTGCTATTTGCCCACTCGTGGTACACCTGGCAAGGGTAGCTCTCCAACCTGCTTTTAATTTACACTCTTTCCATGGGCAGCATGGATCTGGGTGGATCTCACTCGTTTATTGGACACACATAACACTGCAAAATCAGGGACCACACATTGTCCTGTATTTTAGACTTTGGTTCTTCTTCACTTTCAAAACACATGGGTGCTCATCCTGGCACCGTGAAGCTCTGGAGCCCAACTCACTGATTATAGCTGGGGAGACACTAGCAGTCTACTGGCCACCAGCTAAACGTGAGGTCAGCTCCCCTAGATGTCAGCTGACAACCTTTCTTCCAGAAGCTCTGAAACTTGTGGAAGGTCCCTATGTACCCCCAAGAGTGAAATCTGGCTCCATATGTTGGCTCTCCTCCCAATGACAGATTGCCCCCACAAAACATTTCTCCAGATATCCCATTGCAGCAATGATTATGAGGGAAGAAAACAACTATTGCCTTTCAGTTATTCTAGCTCAAAGACATAACTTAAGGCTTCAAATAACCACCCTAGTACTTGGGCACTCACTAAGGTATTGGGAAAAGATTCCTTGCTTGTCTCTTTTTTTCATTGCTAAAAAACATAACACACTTTTCTGTTCATGCAGTTCAAAGAATCACTCATTTACTGCTGAGAGCATTTGGTTTTGCTTGGAAGATAAGGAGTCATTAACTAAATGGTACCAGAAAGCAAGAAATATATTAGATAATTAATGTGCATATTCCTGCCAGCTGAGAAGGGCACAAACTGCTGGTTTTTTGCCCTTGAGCTCGGGAAGAAGGCTTTCCATTTTGGTATCCACTTCAAAGGAGCAACATTAGATGCCTTTGTTCCTTCCCAAACTACAGGAGACAGGAGATGGGAAATTCCAAGCACCTCCATGAGAGGCATAAAGTCCAAGTGCAGAAAGTCCTGTCTCTTGCCACACTGGAGGACTCTTCCTTCATATATTACACTTGTGACAACTTTAAGCATGAACATAGCAATTGGGTTATAAATTTGGACTTTGGTCATTGAAATATGAAGGTTTTCCAAAGAGGAAATGCTGCTTTTCCACAGTGTATGAAACCCTGAAGCCACTATCTTCCAGGTCTCCCCTCTCTTTGAAGATATATAGGCTTGGCTTCTAAGCTAAGAATTAGCTTTTAAGGTCCGATTTCAACATACCTAAGTCCCATTTGCAGGGCTAGACTCCTCTAAACTCTGTAGCACAACATGCAGATATCTGCTTACAAGCACAGCACTGAACTAAGCCCCGAAGGGGCTTTGCAGAGACCTCCTCATAATGCTGAGTTCCCAAAGACCCTTGCATCAAAGCCATTCATAACTCCTTCCTTTTGGGATGTTATTAGTAATTTTTCATGTCAAACCACATTACACATGTTACTTTGCATGTTGTAATGTGAATAGCACTGTGATTAATCCCCACAGGATAGTATGTCGGACAGCATTTTTCCTTTCTAGAAAGAGTAACCATACAGTGTGGTTTTTTTCTGAAAGAAAGAGAGAGAGAGAAAGAAATAGAGAGAGAGAGAGAGAGAGAGAGAGAGAGAGAGAGAGAGAGAGAGAGAGAGAGAAAGAGAGAGAAAGAGGGAAAGAGAGAAAGAAAGAAAATGCTAGTGAAGTCCAGAGCCTGAAAATAAGTATTTAACTGGATGGGTGGTTAAATTTTTCAGTAGGCAATTAATCAGTCAGCTGTGTTAATTATGTGTCTGAGGGTAGCATTTCCTTCACCCTAAGTGATGGTGACCTATTCAGCGCATCTTTACACCTAACTGACTGAACATCTCTGAAGTAGAAACATCTGCAGAAAATGCTTCAGTGACAAATAAACTCCATCTACGTTGCTTTTAATAGAACCAACAATCCCCAGCATGAACCCAGGGCATTTTCTTAGCATCAGGTGGCAGCAGTCAATCAAAGAATCATACTGTACATTCAGCAGGAAGAAAGACAATGAGGTCTGTGGAGGGGGAGGCTAGGTGGGTTTCGCACTAAAGCCTCTCCGTGCGACTGCTCGAGAAACAAATCCCATTTTGCTGCACGCTTTGTCAATATAACTTAGCTCAGCTGCCAAGGAAAAAGTCACAGGCCAAACTTTTGGCTAGTGTAAATCAGCAGGGCTCTACCAGCTCCAGTGAAGTTACGCTGATTTACACCTGGTGTGCATCTGGCCCAGGAAACCTGTGAGGGAATTTAAGCTCTCATTTGCTCTTGTCTATTTATGCTATTTAACTCTTGCCATTTTTTTTGGCTTGAACAACAAACCTAGGCTTGAACAACAAACCTATTTCACTCCYGAGCCTGCACATTTAAGAACCATGCTGAAGTATTTGGGTTAGCACTGCAGGGCTGCTTCACTAGAAATATTCAGTACAAGCTATTTCTATAAAATAAAGGTATAGCTCCAATGGCTTATAAGTTGGAGGTAAGTCAAACCTAGCTTGCATTTCTTTCATTCAGTGACATAAGCAGCTGCAGAAAGAGATATGCTTTAAAAATACTTGTTGAATTTATTTTTGAGGAAAACATTTCAAAAAAGGGCAGTGGTCATTGACAAGGTGAGGGCAGATCCTCAGCAAGCCTAAGCCAGCATTGTTGGAGCAGAACCAGTGAAGCCACACTGATATTAAGCCAACAAAGAGGATCATGATTCTTTTTCTAATGGTATGCACGGACTTTAAAATAATCACCACTGGGAAAGAGGGTGCATCTACTGGAAGCAGATGTATGTCTCAAGTTGGTGGCTGATCAGTGGCCCTTCACTGCTTTCATCGTTATCAGGTTGTCTTGTACCTTCTATCAATTAATTAATTTATTTTTGGGGCTGTACAGCAAAGACTTTGTCTCCCTCCCCTCCCGTTCCCCTCATCCCCTCCCCTTGCAGAGCCCTCCTCCTCCTCCTCTTCCCAGTTGCTTTACCTTCAAGGATGATTTGTTTTATTAAACTGACTGTCCCCAGCCTCTGCAGTACATAATAAAAGCCTGACATAGCAGCCTGCCTGCCTTCTGTGTCCTGCAGATACTCATCATAAGTGTCAGGACATACCAAGGTTAGCGGTCACTGGAAGTGCGCTCACTGGCTCAAGCCTTGCCAAACATGCTTGGCAGCTGAATGAATGTCACAGAGAATAGAAGGGGAATTACAAAGGTTAGAAAGAAGACAGCCTCTCTCTCTCTCTTTTTTATTTTTTTTTCTGGAGATATATAAGCTGATTTTTCACACTTCTGAAATAAACATCAGCTCATTCACAGTGCCTTTCCAGCACCTAAAGCTCTCCCATTGTCAAGTGAACCTTTAATTTCTGCCCGAGCTTTATTTCTTCATTAGCGAAATAAGATGCTTAATTCTCCCTTAATAAAAAAGGAGAAAACCACTGAAATTGAATGACAAAACAAACCCTGAGTCTGCTCAAAGATTTATACATGTATTTCATGTTGCTAATCCTATTAAGGGTGGGCTTCTTTATAGATAATCTTTTAAACTTTTAAAAATTCTTGCTCAAGTGGCAAATCTAGATGATAGGAAAAGCAACACAGATGTAAAGATCACAGAATTGTGAAAGTCAAGTTAAAACCAATATTTCAGAGAATTGTGTTTTGTTTTTTTACTATAAAAGGGCAATAAAATGCTGACTGTAAGAAGACAATGTCAAGGAGAAAAGGGTATTGGTATTTTGGATACTCTTGACTGCTCGCCTTGGAGAGAGAGTTATTCTTGTCACAAACCCTTTTGTCTGCATCTGCTGACTGCTTGCCTGTAGCCAGCAGCATACTTTAACTGTTTTGTCACCTCCTAACATCACATGCATCAGCTGTTGTGCTTTTGTTACGGGTATTGTAGAGCTAATCCACTGTGGCTGTTCTACTGTGCAGTAAATAAAACAGAAACTGCTTCTCAGACAATTCTG